TATATGGATCAACCTGATGGGTTTGTAGTTGAAGGTCAAGAAGGCAAAGTGTGCAAATTGTTGAAGTCTTTGTATGGTCTGAAACAAGCTCCTAAGCAATGGCATGAGAAATTTGACAAAACATTGACATCTGCAGGCTTTGCAGTCAATGAGACAGATAAATGTGTGTACTATCGCCATGGTGGGGGTGAGGGAGTTATTTTGTGCTTGTATGTTGACGACATACTGATATTTGGGACAAACCTTGAGGTGATAAATGAGGTTAAATCATTCTTGTCTCAAAATTTTGATATGAAAGATTTGGGAGTAGCTGATGTTATCTTAAACATTAAGCTAATTAGAGGTGAGAATGGGATTACACTCTTGCGGTCCCATTATGTGGAGAAGATCTTGAATCGCTTTGGCTACATTGATAGTAAGCCTTCTCCAACACCTTATGATCCTAGCTTGTTGCTTCGCAAGAACAAGAGAATTGCTAGGAATCAACTGGAATACTCCCAAATCATTGGCTCGTTGATGTACCTGGCTAGTGCAACTAGGCCTGATATCTCCTTTGCTGTGAGCAAGTTGAGCCGATTTACCTCTAATCCGGGAGATGATCACTGGCGTGCGCTTGAGCGAGTAATGCGCTATCTGAAAGGTACTGTGGAATTGGGGCTTCACTATACTGGGTATCCTGCGGTACTGGAGGGTTATAGTGATTCTAACTGGATCTCTGATGTGGATGAGATCAAAGCCACTAGTGGATATGTTTTCACACTGGGTGGTGGTGCTGTTTCATGGAGGTCTTGCAAACAGACCATTTTGACGAGGTCAACCATGGAAGCAGAGCTAACGGCACTGGATACTGCTACTGTTGAGGCAGAATGGCTGCGTGATCTATTAATGGATCTGCCTGTTGTTGAAAAACCGGTGCCGGCTATCCTTATGAACTGTGACAATCAAACGGTAATTGTCAAAGTGAATAGTTCTAAGGATAATATGAAATCGTCTAGACATGTGAAAAGACGATTGAAGTCTGTCAGGAAATTAAGAAACTCCGGAGTTATAACGTTGGATTACATCCAAACAGCGAGAAACCTGGCAGATCCCTTCACGAAGGGACTATCACGAAATGTGATAAACAATGCATCGAAGGAGATGGGTTTGAGACCCATGTGAATTATACTATGGTGGTAACCCAGTCTATGTGATCGGAGATCCCGTGAATTAGATCCTGGGAAGAACAAACCATTAGTAAACTAGAGGAGAGTATCAATATATATACCCTCTCCAAGTGAAGATGCATGTACTCTCGTGAGCTGCAAGGCAGGTTGGCTATGCCTTAATGAGTTCTGTTGGCTTTAATTAGCGAAGATGTTGTCCTGCAGAGCATTCTTGAAAGAACTCACCTTTGTGAGCTTGACTGTTGGTCGCAGTTTATGAAGATTTTGGGTGAATCTTCTAGGAAGCTTACTAAAGACCTAGGAGTATGACTTATACGCTCCACCCGATGGGTAGTCTACAGACGGTCTAGTACCAGATAAGACTTTGAGTGAAACTTGCTTGCACAAGACTTGCAATTCAAGGCGTAGTCCATTGTTCAAGTTGTGAGTAAGTGTAGCTTGGAGTTCTAGGTGGATGTTCAACCTTAATTGGTCTCCATCGAACCGCTGGTATATAAACAGTACATTGGAAAAGGCAAATCTCAGTGGGATTTTGAGATTTGGTGGGGGATTGTTGGAATTAATGAATGGGCCTTAGCCCACTCGAAGATTAATTCTTTGGAAAATCACAAAAGCCCACCTCATGGGATGGCATGCATGTGGAGTTTAGTACCACCTTGCTTATTCTAGGAGAGGGGGACCTCCTTAAAAGGGAGGATGTCCTCCTAGCCACTTGAAGCATGTGTGGTGGAGAGAAGAGGGGAAACACACGCGCGCGCTCGCTCGCCTCGCCTCGCCTGGCAGGGCAGGGCAAGCGGCGCGCGTGCACGACGTACGCGTCGAATGGTCCAAAAAATTGGCTTCTCACCCTTGCGCAGATGCAGCCTCCTTTTGCAGTTTTGTTTTGCTGCAAATTCGGATTCGTTTTTGTTTTGGAAACGTTCCGAAAAATCTGGTGCGTGCAAACGGCGTGGAGTCCGGATAAGTTACGCGCGACTTATCCGGTTCGGTTACGCGCAGTAGAGATCGTGCGGGCGCCCTGATCAAGCGACCCTTCTCTATATAAACCGACCCGCCGTCTTCACGCAGTATATACGCAAAATCAATCTAGGGTTTGCCTCCTACTCTGTACTGCGCCGTCGCTCGTAGACTACTCCATCCCGCTCGCCGGCGTGCACCAGCGATCGGGAGAGCAGGTCTCCGGAACCTCTGCATTTGACGTCCTGCACCGGGAGAAGGCGGCAATAAAGTTTTTGGGAAGCGCTTCGCGCGACTGCTCCCTGTTCGTTCGCGACGGCTCGCCTTCCTCTTCGCTCGCGTGTTTCGTGCCTTCGTAGACACCTGCGAAAAGTTTCGACCAAGCAGCCGGTCTTTTCGTCACCTCGATACGTGTTCAATATGTTGCGCATATTTGATCTGTTCATGTTATACTGTGTAGTTTACATGTGTAGATCTAATGATGCGTTCATGCTAGTTTTCATCTGTAATGTCATGATTTATTTATGGAATAGATTAAATCATTATATGTCTATAATCTCAACAGCTGCTGCCCGCCGGTGGGATGGAGACGCACAGCACCGTGCCGTCGTAGCACGCCGCGTAGAAGCCGCCGTTGAGGTGGACCATGCTGACGTACTTGCCGTTGAGACCATGTACTCCCAGCCCACCTCGACGCGCGTCCACAACGCGTCCCCGGGGCGCGCGATGGCGAGGCAGCGGCCGCGGCGGTAGACGCAGAGCGCGACGCAGTCGTCGTCGTTGGAGCCGGCGGGGCTGCACGAGAGCGTGACCATGGTGATGTAGGGGCAGTTCTCCTTGTCGGGCTTGTACACGCACTGCAGCATCTCGGCGTCCGTCTCCTCCAGGGGGAGGCCGGCACGGAGGCGCGCCTCCTTCGAGAGTGGCAATCGCAGTGCTCCTCTCGTCCGCGGCGGCATGGATCTCGAAGAGGGAGAACTCGTCGGGGAGGCGGAACTTGAGGTGCGGAAGCAGCGGGTGGACGACATGGAATCATGGATGGTGGCGGTGCCCGCGGCGCCGGCGACTCCCTTGCCCCCTCACGAGCCATCCACGGGAGCTCCCGACGCAGCGCGCGCCGCGGTCGTGGGGGAAGGCGATGTCGTGGAAGCGCCCGTCGGCGACGACGTTGTGCCCGTCCACGGCGAGCGCAAGCCATGGCTTGGAGAGGAAGGTGGCGCCGTCGAAGTCCGTGTTGCGCGGGAGGCGGCGGAAGACGTTGCGCAGGACGGGGCGCGTGGGGAGCTCCCAGGCGTCGTGGAGGATGGCGGCGAGTCCGTCGTCGTCGTCGCGGTCGGCCTCCTCACAATACAGATCCGACGCCTTCGCCCACATTCCACCACGAGCGGCGCAGCGAAATGAGTTGAAGGAAGAGCGTGGAATGTTGTTGCGGCGCTGCGCCTGCGTGACTGCGCGGGGGATAGATAGCTCGCGCGCACGCGCGAGTATCTTAAGTCGCGCGCACGCGGCCTCCGCTTAGCGAAATGACGCGACGTCGCTAATCCCAACGATTAGTGCTAATCATAGCTATTAGCGAATGCTACAGTAATCTCTCAATAAAAATAAAAATAATTGCTTTTGAAATTTTGAGTTAAAATTTTTTAAATATTGACTTGAAAATTTTCAAAATACAATTTGAAAGTTTTCAAAATATTGACATGAAAGTTTTTAAATCTGAGTTAAAAGTTTTTGAATTTTGAGTTGAAAGTTTTCAATTTTGAATTGGAAGTTTTTAAAATTTGAGATGAAAATTTTGGATTTAGGTATGAAAGTTTTCAATTTTGAGATGAAATTTTTTTATATTTGAGATGAAAGTTTTTAAAATTTGAGTTGAAAGTATTTAAGATCTGAGTTAAAAGTTTTGAAATTGGAGTTGGAAGTTCTCAAAGTCTGTTTTGAAAGTTTTACAATTTGAATCAAATTTGAGTTGAAAATTTCGGAAAATAAAAAAAAGGAAAGGAAGCACGTACACATAGTGGGCCGAAACCCGCGAAAAAGAAAAAGAAAGGACTGGTGGGCCAAAAATAATGAAGAAAGAAACAAACATGTGGGCTGATGGGCCCATAATGAGAAACCAGCGTGCGGGCTGGTGGGCTGAAAAGTATGTGCGATCGGACTGGGGGTTGCGTGGGGCATTATATAGGTCGACACCGAGATGAGTTGGATTGAGTTCAGAATTCAGATATCAAGTCTGAATTTTCAGAATGTTCATGTTTGAGTTGATTTGTTCTATTTCACTGGGTTTTTTTTAGCAAAGATAAGTCATTTTCCAGCGCAATGGATCAACCATTTCACCAATGTAAAAATGTCAGTCGGAAACACCAGTATCATTCATTCAGACAAAGAGGCTTGTAACTGCGTTTGTGCCTGAAGCTGATGCCGTCATCAGTTATTTAACATCTCCACTCAATCTCAACCGGCAACGACAAGTTCCAGATTGCGTCCTTGCAACGGTTTTTGTAAAAATGTCTGAAAAACTGGTCCAAGGAACAGAGGATATTGGTCTCAACTCTGAACCTGGCAAAACACCAAGTTCCTTGAGCAGGGACTGCTCCCAAACCATTTGCTAAACTACAGAATTAGCCAAGGCTTTTATGCAATTTGGTCGTTTGGACTAGCAACAGGAATTCAACCATTAGTTGATTTGTGATTATCAGAATTGTCGTCGTCCGAAAACCTGACAGGTCTTTGGCTGCATTCTGTAAAAATTTTAAGTTCAGTGCAGGCAGCAGCCTTCAGATATTAGTTGTAAGTTGTAACTAATAGATGAAATTGTCGGTTATGTCATCTCGATCTGAACTGTTCGCGTTCTTCAGATATCAGATTGCAGATACACCATTTTCCAATTCCGTCAGATTTAGAATGGACATTTAACACTGCAAACTTGTTCCCCGAATTTTGAAACTATTCAGAATAACCTTCAAACTAAATTCAGACCAAAGCTGGCATAGATGATTCATGACGGACCCAGTCTCGCAAAGTCACAAGTGACAGAGCAAATCTTTAGTTAGGTAGGTGTCCTTGGCCTCAGATGTTATCAGGAAACAGCGTCTCTAGCCGTTGCCTCATCGTTGGAACTTGTCCATCGTCCTCATCATGGGGAAGATAATGGCTGAATAATGATACCTACAAATTCCATGATCATCAATAGGAGAATGCAAACTTTTGTTACTGCAATGTTGAGCTCACCTGTCCAGAAAGACCACTGGTGTCTCTTCTTGGTGGCACGCCAGGTGTCATTTTTTTGCCAAAGAGTCGGAAGGTGGATGACGAGGAAACAGACTTCTTGTTTTGCTGAAGCTGTTTTGTTCCGTCAGGAAGCTGAAGCGCATTAACTAAATTCCTCTGTGGTGCCGGCGAGTAATCTTGACTTCTCACAATGCAAGTGGATGCCTCAAAGGAACTCTCTCCAAGAACTTCACGAATTTGCCAAAAATTAACATATCTGTTCATTCCTGCACAGGATGGCCACTCAACCTGGCGAGCAGCACAGTGTCAGATAAAAATGGACAATGCAACAATTTCAGTGGAGACACAAAATGCTAGCACTAGATCTGGTACAAAGTTACAACTACTCATGATGCCTAATATCCAAGGCACAATTTAGGAAAGCATTTGCAATTAAACAAGCAGCAAAATTCAGAGTAATACAGTAATACCTGAATCATCCTCCAGATTGAGGTTGCATAGTTCTCTATGGCAATGACCTTTCCCTGTGGCCCAACATTCGGCAGCCTGTCCTCCTCAACAGCCCATACGAAGTTTACCACCATTCCTGGGGTAAACTTCGCTCGTAGAGCATTATGTACAATCCCACACGGTACAACAAACTCGTCGCCGTCCTGGCGCGAGAGGTAGGTCACCTCGAACGGCTCGAGACGCGCCGCCCTCCATACGGCCTCAATCACTTCGTCAACTGACACTGGCTCCGGCTTGAGGGTGCGACGCAGCCCCATGTATCTCTCGCCACTGTCCATGCTGCGCATAAACACTACGTTGTCACCTGTGACAAGGCGGTTGGCATTCGCGAATTTTATCCAGCCACTGGAAAGCATGTGGGTGTACTCTTTCCATGTATAATTAATCACCCACTCCTTTCCGTGCATGTCCTTGATATAGAGCGGCACGTGTTCGTTCAATTGGAGCTGGGGTAGAACACCCATGGCGGTCTCTCTCTTGGGCACTATGAACCGATACCGATTCTTGACAGCATCGGTGCACGTGAGAGGCTTCACAAATGAAACAAGAGTAGTCTGCACTTGAGGGGAGCTTGGACCTGGATCAGCGGGCGCCTGAGGCTGGATGGCTTGGTCTCTGGCGACTGGGATGAGGGACATGGTCGCAAAGAGCTCATTTCTTGTTGCATCCAAGCGGACAGCTGTGACTTTACATAGAAACACCCTGCCTGGAAGGGGCTCTGGTGGACGCGACGGGCACTGCTAGGCGTGGCCGTCAGGGAAGTAGTAGACAAATGAGCCAACAGCGGGGAGGCGGCCAGACTTGGGGGCGGCGCATGCCCGCCACATCTCGCGTGTGATACTGAACTGCTGCGCCTGCGCGGAGGAAGAGGGAGAAGCCTTTGCCGCTGCCGCTGACGCTGACGCCTTTGGTGGAGGCAGATGATCCTGAAAAGCGATTGAACATTGCATCGATCAATTCACCAAATAGTGAACATTGTTGCATCGATCAACGTGTGCGTGCGTTTACAAGTCGATCAATGTGTGAGACATCCATTGCAGGGAGATGAAGAAGTAGATGCCGTAGCTACCTCTGAACTCTTCAGCCTCTTTGGAGAAAGAGGAGGGGGAGGAGCAGCAGAAGCAAAATCGTCCGAACCAACCAATCGAACTTGCCAGAAGTTGGCGTACTTGTTCATCTCTGAACCTCCCGTCCATCCAATCTGCAGTATGAACGAAATCAGACAAGAAAACTTCAAAAACATTGGCATGGCGGATGAGAATCAGGGGAATTAATCGATGTCAGGATACCTCGACTGATCGCCACATCCATGTAGTGTCGTGGATGGCGGTGATCTTGCCATGTGGCCCGACGCTGGGCGGCGCGCCATCCTCAAGGGCCCAAACAAACTCCACCTCCATCTCGGGAGTGAATCTGGAGCGGAGGCGGAGCCCCTCCTCCACCACCTCGCGTGGCACGACGAACTCGTCGCCGTCCTGCCGCGAGCGGTACGTCGCAGTGAACTGCTCGCCGGCCGCCGCGCGACCCGCTGCAGCTATCACCTCCTGCACGGCCACCGGAAGCGGTGTCGGAGGCCTGGATCGGCGCGTCCTGAGTGGCTTGTCGAGCGTGCGCTGGCGCCGCACCCCGACGTACAGCTCGTCGTCGTCGCGGCGACGCATGAAGATGACGCTGTCTCCGTCGACGAAGTCCATGTCGTCCCGAAATTTCTTCCAGACCTTGGCGAGCGTGACCCTGTTGCCGTTCCTGCCGTAGTCGAACGTCATCGGAGATCCTTGAAGGTCCTTGACGATGAGGGGCTGGACCGCTTTGGCGTCGACCAGCGGCGGGAAGACGTCCTTGGCAACATCCATGGGGACGGCGAAGCGGTCTCGGTACTCGGCATCGGAAGACATCAGCGTCTTGACGAAGTAACGCAACTGCTGCTGCTGGCCACCGGCGGCGGCGGCGGGAGCGGGAGCGGGGAGCAGGCGCGGGACGTCGTGGTCGGCGACCGGGTCGAGGGTGATGTCGGCGTAGGCCTCATTGGTGAGGGCGTCGGCGCGGAGGCGGACGGCGGCCACCGTACAGAGGAAGACGCGGGGGCCGGGGACGGCGAGCTGCTCCAGGAGAGGTGCGGGGAACTGGCAAAACTGCTCTGCGTGGCCGTCGACGAAGTAGAAGACCATCGAGCCGACGGCGGGGAGGCGGCCGGAGTTCGGGGCGGCGCATGCGAGCCACATGGCACGGTCTACGATCCCGTCGCCGTCGTCGGCGAGCGCCGCCGCCGCCGCCGCCATTGTCGCCGGGAGAGGCCGAGGAACTGGGGGGGGGGGGGGGCAGCGGGAGATGGATTTGTCGAATTGAGGTTTGAGGCGAGGCGAGGCGTTGGTTACTGTTTGTTCTCGCTTGCAAGTGGGTGGGGGCGGTGGGGTTTTATACTGTCGCCGCCGGCCGCCGCCTCGTCCGTCCAGAATTTGTAGACGTTTCGTTGCAGAGTTAACCAAAGCAAAAAAAAAAAAAAGGAAAGAAATACTATCAGTAATAAACTGTGCAAGTGGACCCTAGCTAGCTGTAACTAACTAGCCCAACTAGTAAAACGTAAGCCGACAAGAAAGAAACATGTAAGAACGGATTAATCACTGTAATTACTAAGACGAAAGGAGAAAAGGATTAACGAAGTGGAGGCGGCGGCGTTGGGGAACTATTTCGATCCCTGCACGGATGTATCTTCGTTGCTTGCATGCCATTGAAATAGTCAAAAAAAAAAGTTTAAAAGAAATTGAGAAGATATATTAACATGTGATATATCACTTTATAAATATACAAGTTTAAATTCAATTTGTACATCTCGCAAGAAAAAACAAATTAAACAACAACTAGTTAACGTATAACCATAGTTAAATTTGTTTTTTTATCTAAAAACAGTTCAGAATTCAGATATCGAGTCTGAATTTTCAGAAAGTTCAGGTTTGAGTTGATTTGTTCTATTTCACTGGATTTTTAGCAAAGATAAGTCATTTTCCAGCAGTAATGCACAATGGATCAAACAATAATTTCACCAATGTAAAATGTCAGTCGGAACCACCAGTAGCATCCATTCAGACAGAGGCTTGTAACTGCGTCTGTGTCTGAAGCTGATGCCCAGTTAAACGTATTGTCAAACAGCTCCACTCAATCTCAACCGGCAACAAGTTTCAGATTGCCGTCCTTGCAACGGTTTTTTGTAACAACGGAACATAGATTATTGGTCTCAAGTCTCAACTCTGAACCTAGTCCTTGAGCAGTGACTGTCCCAAGTCCCAAACCATCTGCTAAACTACAGCATTAGCCAAGGCTTTACGCAATTTGGTTGTTTTCACTAGCAACGTGAATTGAACCATTAGCTGATCTATGATCATCAGAATTGTCGGCGTCCAAAAACCTGACAGGATTTGACTGCATTCTATGAATTTTAAGTTCAGTGCAGGAAGCAGCCTTGAGATATTAGTCGTAACTAACAGATAAAATTGTCGTTATGTCATCTCGATCTGAACTGTTCGTGTTCTTCAGATATCAGATTTCAGGTACACCATTTTCCAATTCCGTCAGATTTAGAATGGACATTTAACACTGCAAACTTGTTCCCCGAATTTTGAAACTATTCGGAATAACCTTCAAACTAAATGCAGACCAAAGCTGATTCATGACGGACCCAATCTCACAAAGTCACAACTCGCAAGTGACAGAACTAATTTTTACTTGAGTTAGTCACAAGCAGGTGTACTTGGCCTCAGATGTTATCAGGAATCAGCGCCTCTAGCCGTTGCCTCATCGTTGGAACTTGCTCATCTCCATTGTCGACGGAAACAGAAGTAGAGGCGGTATCATCAATCTCACAATTCTTGAGCCTCTTCGGAGGAGGAGTAGAAGGAGAAATATCAACTTCCTCAACAGGTCGAACTTGCCAAAAGTTGGCACTCATGTCCATCTCCGAGTTTCCATCCCATACAATCTGAAGATGTGCACAACGAGCAGAGTAGAATCCATATCAATGCAATTATTGAGTAATAATCAATCACGCGGTAGTGATCAATCTTGCATGAACAAAACAGTAACACTGGGCATGCAAGAACGAAATCGATGATGATGCTGTGCTGATGAGGGACAAAAAACAATCAAACAAACAAAATGAAAATTCATTGGCATGGATGTCAGGAAGCTGTCAAGAATGGATTACCTCGAGATTTCGCCACAGCTGTCCGGTGGCAATGGCGGTGACCTTGCCCCGTGGCCCGACGATGGGCGGCGCGCCGTCCTCGACGGCCCACACAAACTCCACCTCCGCCAGCGAGGTGAGTCTGGCGCGGAGCCCCTCCTCCACCGCCTCGCGTGGCACGACGAACTCGTCGCCGTCCTTCCGCGACCGGTACGCCACCGTGAACCGCTCGCCGGCCGCCGCGTGACCCGCCGCGGCTAGTACCGCCTCCTGCACGGCCGCCTGGGGCGGGGTCGGAGGCCTGTACCGGCGCATCGTATTCCTGAGTGGCCTTTCGAGCGTGCGCTGGCGCCGCACCCCGACGTACAGCTCGCCGTCGTCGTCGTCGTCGTCGCGGCGACGCATGAAGATGACGCTGTCTCCGTCGACGAAGTCCATGTCGTCCCGAAATTTCTTCCAGACCTTGGCGAGCGTGACTCTCTTGCCCTTCCTGCCGTAGTCGAACGTCATCGGAGATCCATGGAGGTCCTTGACGAGGAGGGGCTGGACCGCTTTGGCGTCGACCAGCGGCGGGAAGACGCCTTTGGCGTCAGCCATGGGGGCGGAGAAGCGGATGCGGAAGTCGAAGTCGGAAATCATCAGCGTCTTGACGAAGTAACGCAACTGCTGGCCACCGGCGGCGGCGGCGGGTGCGGGAGCGGGAGCGGGGGCCAGGCGCGGGACGTCGTGGTCGGCGACCGGGTCGAGGGTGATCTCGGCGTAGGCCTCATTGGTGAGGGCGTCGGCGCGGAGGCGGACGGCGGCCACCGTACAGAGGAAGACGCGGGGGCCGGGGACGGCGAGCTGCTCCAGGAGAGGGGCGGGGAACTGGCAAAACTGAGCGGCGTGGCCGTCGACGAAGTAGAAGACCACCGAGCCGACGGCGGGGAGGCGGCCGGAGTTCGGGGCGGCGCATGCGAGCCACATGTCACGGTCTACGATCCCGTCGCCGTCGTCGGCGAGCGGCGCCGCCGCCGCCGCCATTGTCGCCGGGAGAGAGGACGAGGGGTTTTGGGTGGAGCGGGAGATGGATTTGTCGAATTGAGGTTTGAGGCGAGGCGAGGTGACGGTTACTGTTTCCTATATCAAGTGGGTATTTGTATCGGGACGCTGATATGACGATATGTTCAAAATTTCGGTCCGATATTTTGAACGAAATTTAGTCACATTTGAACAAATATTGTTAAAATTCATGAAAAAATTAAAAACATTAAAATTTTCTGCCGAAATAAATATCATATCGGGGTTCGATATTTCTAAAATTTTGAACCCTGGCCTCCTCCGTCCAGAACAATGTAGACGATTTTTTTTACTGATATTTTTCCTTGCAGAGAGGTAACCCAAGCAAAAAAAAAGAAAAAACGAAAAGAAATAACAGTAAAAAACCGTGCAAGTGGACGCTGGCTAGCTGTAAGCCTGTAACTAACTGGTCATTTAAAACGTAGCCGACAAGAAAGAAACATGTAATAACGGATTAATCACTGTAATTAGCAAGACGAAAGGAGAAGGGTTAACGAAGTGGAGGTGGCGGCGTGGCGTGTATATATAAACCCCATCTGCTGGCGTCAATTCGAATTTCGAATTCAACACATTTCCACCACTTCCACTACCTCCCGTGGAGGAGATCGAACAATGGCGCAGCCGCCTGACGCCGCCGCCGCCGCCGCCGTCCCGCCGCCGGTAGTCATCGACCGGGATGTCTGGCACGCCTGCGCCGTCCCGTACTCCGGCGTCCTCCCCGGCGTCGGCACACTGGTCTACTACATCCCCCATGGCCACATCGAACAGTGCGCCGAGGATCCCGCGCTGCTGCTCTCCCGCCTCCCGGACCCCATCCACCCCGTGCCCTGCACCGTTGCCGACCTCGTCCTCGACGTCGACGCCGAGAGCGGCGAGGCGTACGCCACCATCTCCCTCCTTCCAGGCAGCCACGACGACACGACCGCGCGGCGCCAGGTCCCCGCCCACGGCGAGCCGGGGTTCCGCTTCTTCGAGAAGCAGCTGTCGCCGGCCGACGTCACCAGCAACGCCCTCGTCCTCCCCGCCGGCGCCGAGCACGTCCTTCCGCCGCTCGACATCGCCGCCTACCAGACCGCCCGGCTCTTCGACGTGAGGGACCTGCGAGGCAAGCGCTTCGAGTTCGTGCACATCTGGGACAAGAAGCGCTGCCGCTACATGCTCGGCGACCTCGGCGTCAACGACAACGACGGCTGGAGAGGGTTCGTCAAAGCCAAGCGCCTCGCCACCAGGGACACCGTGGTCTTCATGCGCCGCGGCGGCGGCGACGGCGACGGCGACGGCGAGCTGCTTGTCGGGGTGCGGCGCGCGCCCCGCGCGCGCGGCGGCCACCACCCGAGGCCCGGGGTCGAAGACAACAAGGTGGTGTCCGAGGTGTGGCTGGCGATGCAGGGCGTGACGCCGTTCGAGGTGACCTACTACCCACGGGAGGGCACATTCGAGTTCGTGGTGTCGCGCGACGAGTACATCGGCTTCTCCTTCTCGCCGTTCTACCCTTTCGTTCCCGGGACGACGGTGCACTTGCGGATGAACCCGCTGCAGATCGCCCAATCGATTTCGGGCACCGTCAGGACCTTCGACCATCTACGCCCATGGCGCATGCTCGAGGTATTAATTTCATCATCTCATCATCCCCTTCCTACCCAATCTGATTTGTTCATCGATCAATTCGATCGTTGCATGTTGAGATGATTGATCGATCGTTGATCTGAAATTGCTCGATCGGTGCATGTGTGCAGGTTGATTGGGATCAAGCGGCCTCCCCGATCTCCTACAGGATACACAGACAAGTTAATTCTTGGCAAGTCCTGCGTCAGCCTCAGCCAGCAGCAACTACTTCGGCTGTGCGAATTCGGGATGCCATTGTTGCCACCCCGCAAGTTCAGATAATGGCGCTGCCGAGGCCGCCGCCGCCGACGACGACGACGGGAATGGTGCCGGTCATCGACCACGACATCTGGCTCGCCTGCGCCACGCCGTACTCCGGCCGCCTCCCCGTCGTCGGCTCGGCGGTCTACTACTTCCCCCAAGGCCACGCCGAGCAATGCCACACCTGCACGACGTGCCTGATCCCGGACAACCGCCATCGCTTACGCTGCACCGTCACCGGCATCGATTCGCTGTCGACGCCCAGTCCGATGATTCCTACGCCATGATTTCCCTCTTTCCGGGCGACTGCTACGTCACGCACCGCCCGCTTCCCGCCGCGCGCGACCCCGTCGGAGGCCAGCGGGAGTTCTGCTTCTTCGACAAGAAGCTGTCGCCGAGCGACGCCGCGGCGAACGGCGGCGGCAGCGGCGCCCTCTTCGTGATCCCCAAGCCCAGCGCCGCCGAGCACGTCCTTCCGCGGATCCCGGACCTCCGCGTGACGAACCTGCAAGGCGGCCGCTGGGAGTTCGGCCACACCTGGAGCGACGCCGACACGGACCGCCGCTCCTCCTCCCACACGCTCGCCGCCGGCTGGAGCGCGTTCGTCAAGGCCAAGCGCCTCTGCGTCGGGGACACCGTGATCTTCATGCGCCGCCGCCCCGGCGGCGAGCCGCTCGTCGGGGTGCGCCGCAAGCCGCACGGCGGCATGCCGGTCGGGATCCCCGACAAGCACGTGGCGGACGCCTGGCTCGACGCGTCGTCCGCCCAACCGTTCAGGGTGACCTACTGCCCATGGCAGGGCACGGCGGAGTTCGTGGTGCGCCGCGAGGAGGTGGAAGGCTCGCCGCCGCTCGCTCCGGGGACGAGGGTGCGCTTACTGATGAACCCCGACGACGCGCGCCGCCGCAGCCAGCCACCGGTGTACGGCACCGTCAGGGACGTCCATTGCCGGAGCGAGTGGCGCATGCTCGAGGTATAATTGCCTGACAAAATCAATTGTTCTTCAGTTCTTTGATCACCATTTTCCAGGATTCGACATGCTGCTGGGTTGCTGTTTGATCGATCGATCGATCAATCTGATTGCATGTATATCTCGATCGATCTGCAGGTTGACTGGGATCGTGACTCCCCGCTCGCTCCCACGATGAACAGACGAGTTAATTCTTGGCAAGTCCAACCCGTTCAGCTCGCTCTTCCACCACAGGGTTCTGATGAGGAGGCGGCAGCAGCAACCACATCGACTGCGCACGCCGGAGATGCCACCACGTCTGCTCCATCGTTGGCGCTGCAACTTCAGACAATGGCATCCTCTTCTTCTTCATCCGCACCAATTATCCCGAGTCGTGGCTCCGCGTTTCGCATTGTAAATCCTCGAGATGGATCACAGGGCTAACAACTCAGCAAGCCATCAGTAGTCGTAGTGGTGGTTTCATGGTGCGGCCGATGCTTCAAATCACACTTCGAATTGCTGGTCGGTGGCCACAACCAAAATGGTTGTAGGCGAGGACCCTGAAGTAGTGAAATCACACATACATTTATGTGAAATTTTGATAAACTTCCCAAGGTATATTCACTGAACTTTTCCACGGCTACTGTCTCATTGACATTCATGTCTTTGCTTGCAATGAAGATTGAGAAACAAACTTGAATAGGCTAATTGATCCACTTATCGATGCCACAAGATTGGTTGCCAGTCACACTGACACACTGTCACTCTATTGGGTCCAATTTGCATTACTGCAATTCATACTTGTTTATGGAGTTATGGTTAAGAGCATCTCTAGCAGGACCTAAACACAGCCCCTAAACCATTCATTCTTGTAAGATGTGTTATTTTTACGATCGAACCATTCATGGTTGTAGAATGTGTTATTTTTAAATTATATAATACATCACCGGATTCACATAGCTTATTGTGGTGATATGGAGACAAAAAAAAATTACATGTTGGTGAGCAATTTTCATTTTCATTGGTGAATTATGAATCTTAGTTGCATGTTGTTGTATATGGCATTATGCTCACACCGCATTTACATGTTTGAAAATTTTGATTTTGGATTTGAATTGTGGTGTGTGAAATTGTGAATTTAAGTGTGGTTAAATTATATGCATTAGAAATATTTATGTTTGAATTATTGTGGTATTAAACGTAGTACAAACATGGATTGTATGTTAAAATACAAGAAAAACATGAGTAAGAGTTAGGAAATACTAGGCTACTGCTGAGTTGGAAGTATTTTTTGGTTCCTTGGTAAATGGGGCAACAGGCGAGGGGCCACGCTGGCCGCGGTGGCGGAGGGAGGCTGCGGTACGGGTACATCCTGTGGCGGTACGTGGTCCGCGAGATGAACATGTGGGTGCGGTGGTGTATGTTCGGCACGCGGTGGCGAGGCAGCGCCCGCGGCGGAGAATGAAGGGTGCGGATTAACGTTGTTGCGGATGTGCGCGATTGTGTGGGTGACGATGGGTTGGTGGGCTAGCTGCGCCTGCGCGCCAGGCATTATATAGGCGGACGCTGTGTAGAGTGCGTCGCGCGGCGTTGTGGCACAGGCGCACAGTTTCGAGAAAAAACCGTGTCACTGCGTGTGGGTCCCACGGGTACACCTGATTTACGCTGCGTCATTTTTGCGCTAAGTCATTTAGGCGTGGTCAATTTCTCGTTGAAGCCCAGGAATGTTTTCTGTCTTGTCTACAAATTGTACCATTTCCGGTGAAAGTTCTGCAATCCCACTCCAAAATCCGAAGAAATATTATATGTTCGGTTGGTTGGTAACCATGCACAATTAGAGCAAGGAGATACGGCTATGGAGAAGAGTAGGTAGTATTTGATTTAGCAGTTGCCATGAAACTATGTTGGAAGAAGCTAAATACATCGGCACATGACTTTGGAATGTTCCCCTAAAGTCATATATATTGCCACATATTTTTTAAACAAAACTCTATAGACAAAGCCACATTTATTTCTTCTTAAATAAAATCTCCATGCCACGCTCAACTCTAGTCGAAATTGTCGACTCTAAGTTCCTCCTTAGTGTCCATGTTTTTTTCCCCATGAAATACGTATTTTTTTTGGAATATGCAAAAAGATTGCGCACCTTTTAAGAGGAATAAAATTTACACGGTAGGCAAAACAAAAAAATGAGGGGGAGGGGGGTTGGAAGAAAAGGAGGACTTAAACCTATTCTTGCGATTACAATGAGATGACCAAACAACCTAGCACGCTACGAAGAAAGCGTTGGCAACAGGGGATGGGCAAGATGCCAAAGGGCGGCCTCTTGTGACATGCCTACGACCACCTCGAACCAGGGCCGAGAACAGTTGTTGAACGCGCGGTTGTTCCGTTCCTTCCAAATAGACCACGCGCCAAGGGTCACGACCATGTTGAACCCACGACGACGCTCCCTCCAAACTTTGAGTCGGCAGGAGTAGTGCCACTCATGGAAGGAAACAGCATCAGAGGGAAAGCAATGTGGGAGGCCGAGACTCGAGAGGACGGTCCACCATAACTGGAGGGCCATGAAATACGTATTGAAATCATCCTAGCAGTCGAGGTAACTCTATTGAGGGTAAAATTTATACTGTTGGCTATCAAACATTTTTGGAGTCTTTTTTTTTTTGTCTAAACTAGACAAATCGGTTATTTGTTGTCTCAACTTTTAGAAACGCATGAACGACACACTAAATTATGGAGTATTCCACAATAATTTTGATTGCATTTTGTTGACATAGACCTAACTGGGTGGTATACTATTTACATCACCAAAAGATGCATAATATGACCTAGGCTAGTGAATATCACCACCGTATCAATGAAAACTGCCACATATTTTTGCCACACAACACAATGTTACACATCTTCAAATATGAAAAACTAGCATGTATAAAAGGTGAGAAAACAGAGCAAAATTCACAGAAGATTCAGAACCGGCTTAAATGTGTCAGCTCAATGCATAGTACTATCAAGTTGCACAGGCACACGAAGTTCTCAATATCCAGAATTCCTCAATTGCTATAACAACTTGCCTACAGTTTGCAGGAAATTTACTCCAGAAATGCGATCTAAAATCTGCAATTCCTATGACAAACATACACGTAGTTCGTACGAAATTCAGCCAAAAGTCTCAAAGAGAGAATTTACATCAAGCATCACCACAATCCACATAGTACCTATGATCTCTCTGATGCAAAATCTCTGCGCTATTCATGGAACGGCATGACCCAGACAGGTGGGGCCATCGCCACCTTGGGCCCCGCATTGTGGACGGAGTAGAGCTTCTGGCGGCGCACGTCGCAGCACCGCACCGGCACGTCGTCGCCGGTGCGCACCCGCTCGTCGCGGGTGAAGTAGATGCAGTTGCCGGCGCACCACGGCAGGTGCCGCGCGTCGGCGACGAACGCCGTGCCGCGCCCGACGAACACCGCCCGCCCGCCCAAGTCCTTGGGGCGGCGCCAGAACCGCAGCTCGTCGTCCCACCGGAACGCGCACATGTACATCTTCTGCTTCCACCAGCGCCGTTCGGTCGCGACGAGCACCAGCGCGCCGCCGCCGGCGGAGGAGGATGCGGTGTCCACGGCGAGCCACCACCGCGCCCACCGGATGCTCTCCCTGCGTGGCGCGTCCGCGAACTTGTCGACCCGAGGGGGCGACGCGCTGCCGGGCGGCGGGATGGACACGCGCAGCACCATGCCGTCGTAGCACGCCGCGTAGAAGCTGCCCTTGTGGTGCACCACGCTCAGGAACTCGCGCCTGTACTCGTGCGGCTCCATGTATTCCCAGCCCACCTCGACGCGCGTCCACGACGCGTCCCCGGGACGCGCGATGGCGAGGCAACGGCCGTGGCGGTAGACACAGAGCGCGACGCAGTCGTCGTCGGAGCTGGCGGGGCTGCACGAGAGCGTGACATCGGTGATGTAGGGCTCGGGGGGGCGCAACCCCTCTGCCGTCTTGAACACGCGCTGCAGTAACTCCGCGCCCGTCTCCTCCACGGGGAGGCCCGCACGAATGCGCGCCTTCTCGGACGGCGTCAGACGCAGGAGGAAGCGCTCCTCGGGCGCGGTGACCTGGATCTCGAAGAGGGAGAACTCGTCGGGGAGGCGGAACTCGAGGTGCGGGAGCAGCGGGTGGACGACGTGGATGGTGGCGGTGCCGGCGGCGCCGGCGACTCCCTCGGGGCCCTTCCTGACCATGACGAGCCAGCCACGGGTGCTCCCGACGCAGCGCGCGCCGCGGGCGTGGGGGAACGCGATGTCATGGCGGCGCCCGTCGGCGAGGCTGAGGAAGGCGCGGGAGGCCGGGTCGAGCGCCATCCCCTCCGGGAGCAGCAGCGCCGGCATGAGCCGCTGCGGCTCGGCGATCACCATGGGCCCGTCGCAGGGGAGCTCGAGCCATGGCTTGGAGAGGAAGGTGGCGCCGTCGAAGTCCGGGTTGCGGGGGAGGCGGCGGAAGACGTTGCGCAGGACGGGGCACGGCGGGAGCTCCCAGCCGGAGGGGGAGGGGACGGGGACGGGGACGCGGGAGCGGCCGTCGACGTCGACGTCGTCGTCGCGGGCGGACTCCTCCACCTCCACGTACAGATCGGCCGGCTCGGCCGCCATTGGAGATGGAGGTGAGCGGGGTTGGTGGAACGCGCGGCGCACGGGAGCAGGGAGGTTCTGGAAATGGAATGTTGTTGACGGCGGCGCGTTCATTGCCTTATATAGAGATACTTTACTTGTAGTTCTAGGCGGGTAGGCTGTGTAACTGTGTACAGAGAGTGGTTCGTGTGGCTCCGCAGATATCGACTTGGTAGACACGAACACGCTGCGCATGTGTCTGGATATATGCTAGGCTTGATAGAATTTTCTTGGTTTGACTGTGTTCTTTACTCTGTTTTCCTCACTTCACCTCTTATATTTTTCGCCGCTTCTTAAATTGTTAAACGCTATATTTTTTTAATAAAATTGTTTTAAAAACCATATTATTATTATTCCATTTTTTTAAGTTTTTCACTACTACTTAAATACTTAATTAATTATACGTTAAACCGTCGCCTCGTTTTGTGCAATGGGGTAGCGTTGCTAACTTCAATTGGCAAACACAAAGCAAGGCACTGCACTCATTTAGTGAAGAGATTTTTTTTTAGAGAATGGTATTTTTTACCCGGTCTCTATATCCAATCGGATATATGCAGCATTTTTTTAATAGGAACTTAGCCTATCGAACAAGGAACTAGCCCTCAAATAACTCAATCTGAAATTCACTTCTATGGAGATTTGAACTCAAGACCTTGGTGTGCTACTCAAGTCACTGCAATTACTAGGCAACATATCGTTTCACATTTGGTGAAGAGATGGCATTAGCATTACCTGGCAAGATTGTTTTGTAACCGCTGAAAAGAAAATCATTGTCATGAAGCTTATATGAATAGGTAAAATAAAAACCCAGTTGTTATGTGTGGGATACGGGAATGCATTACATTTTGTTGAGGCATATCGAGGCTCTGTTTAGTTTTCACCCAAAAATTTTACACCCTGTCACATTGAACGTTTGAACAAATGTATGAAATATTAAATATATGTTAAAAAATAACTAATCGCACAGATTACGACTAATTTACGAGATGAATCTTTTAAGCATAATTGCTCCATGATTTGACAAGGTGGTGCTACGGTAAATATTTGCTAATGGCAGATTAATTAGACTTAATAGATTCATCTCGCACTTTACGTGCAAATTTTGTAATTTGTTTTGTTATTAATCTACGTTTAATACTTCAAATGTGTGTCCGCGTATCCGATGTGACACGCCAAAACTTTTCACCATGGAACAAACAAAGTTATACTACATGCGGAGAACAACATTTTTTTAAAAAAAAAATCAGATATTCAGATTTTGAAGAAATCCCAAACACACTATACTGAGTACTCCAACTCAATACGGCATCTAAGTTAGATGTCGTGAGTTTGAAATTTGGTTGATCTTTCTCACCAGAGTAAAAGCAACCCTCATACGAGGGCAAACCAATTAAAAACTGTTATTTATCAGCCATTCATCTATCTATTATATACTAAAAGTCCATAAAACTTCCTATAAACGCTCTCAAGTCACCATGTGGCAATCTACAATCGCTTCTATGCCACCACGTGGCGCTATAATAAATTAGAAAATAATCATAGAAATTCTTAAAAAAAAGTAAAACATGTAACCTTGATTTTCATTTAAAGTGGTGGACCCATTATTTTAGACCAATAAATTATTAGATCTATAAAGAAAATAGTCTCTCACTCCTAATATCCTGTTCACGTACGAGAGAAAATATTTACGTACAATTAATCCATCCGAACAAAAAAAAAGCCAAAGATCTAAATAAAGAAGAAAAAAACACAAAAAATTACGTATGATTGGAAAAGAACTCACAGCCAAGATTAATTGTAAAAAACCACGAACCTGAACGACCAGCCAAGATTAATTCCAACTCACGGCTCAAGCACGTATATGTGCTATCTGCTCTCTCTTTTCTCTGTAAGTTGTTGAGATCTAAAGCATAATAAAATCTAAACAACATTAAATTTATATCTTCAGTTGAATATAGACTTCCATGGTTATACGTCAGTGTCCTCCTCATGGAGGGCTACATGCATGAGTGGATCTGCATGTATTAACTTTTGAAAAATATATGTTGATTTTCTGATTAGTTTGATTCTTTATATTCCTGACAATTAAATAAATAATTTAAAACCATATGGACTGTTTTATCTATCTATATGTCTGTCTTCTATTATATACTGAAAATTCATGAAACTTCCTATAAACGCTATTAAGTCGTCATATGAGAGTCCTACAAACACCGCTAAACCATCACGTTGCACTTTAATAAACAGCTGGACCCACTATTTTCATTACTATTAGAATTGTTTTTTCCACCTCCCTTTCCTATCCCCATCGGCATATATCCAGCAGTTATATATGTACGTAAGGAAAATTACCTACCCACTATTTGCCAAAGAAAAAAAATCACCTACAAAGCGATCTATCCTTACCCCCTTATTTTCTTCAGTTATTCACTATTTAAAACTTTATAAAACATATGATGTATCTATTCTATAAATAATATATATAGCATCGATATTACCTATATATTAATTACAAAAAAAACTGCCACATGTAACCATATTCTTAATAATCACTTCATTTGTCACAAATCTCAGTATCAAGTCTAACAACAATTTTTTTACTATCAGTTATTTGAGAACATATAATGTTTTAGTTATATATCCCAAAAATTATGGAATTTTTTTTGTTTGTACTTTTAGTAGTATTATATCTATATGTAAGGTCTTATATTCAAATTCATTACATATTGGGAGGAAGAAAAAACAAAATTCTAATACATTTATACTCTTAAGGCCGTCAGGATTTTTAACCTTTTTGTTGTGGCTAAAATATAATGAATTTAAGGGTAACACTTTACCCATAATTGTAATACTAAATTCCTAATGCACGTTAGCTAAAAGAAAGTTACAAAGAGTGATTGTTTGGAGCATATAAATTCCTAATGTTTAATTATAAATTTTAGAGTAAAAATATTTAAATCATGACGGCAATCATGAAAAGTCCAAACTACAATAATAATCACGCTTGCCGAGTTATTTTTAGTTATGAAATTATATTCGTGGGGTATGTGAAGTCTCATGCACTATGCAAGAAACAATCCGAAATCAATTTAGATTCCGCTAGACTTTTTTATTTGGAATATGTATAGTGTCAAATGCACCCAGGCATCAGTTCATCAACAATAAGAAACTGCAACATAAAGAAAAAAAATAGCATGTGCATCTCAGCAACGAAATACAATAATTAGTTGTAAAATATCTAGCTAATTTTGCTATATACCGAAAAGAACTATCAAGTTCTATCGATTGTTGGCAAACAATAATATGGGCACAAGTACCATTAATTTACATAGTGAATTTAAACATTTTAATTGTATAAATAATTATTTTAATCACACTACTGCACAAATGATTGTTTGTGAGCATTCTTTTCACATGTGGCTCAAATGTGTAGCTTGCTATGTGGCGAGCCTTTTGCCTCAGACTCATGGGTCATCTTTGAAAATAACTTTTGCAATCCATTTACAAAGAACTATTTTAGTGAAGTGCTTAACCTGTTATGTAACGTATACAACTATTTTAGTTGAGCACTTAACCCGTAAGATAGTATTGAATAAATCTACTACTTTCGTTACAGAAAAACATAGCTTATTTTACAACATAATGATATTTTATTCTTTCCAAAATTTTATATTTCTCTTCATATGAGTCATATTAAACACACCAAGAGATGAAAGTCAATGATAAATCAACAAATTCAAATTCAGTAAATTCCTATCCTTTAAGTAGCTCCAAGGGTTTCTCCACAACCTACATGTATAAGCCTCTAAGGTGGTAATACAAATTAGTATCCTTTCTTATTATAATATGATTAAAAGTTATATTTTTCCATAATAAATTATTATTTTAAGATTCATGTTGACTAGACATTTTCTTTAAAATACCATAAGGTCTAACATATTACTGAGAAGCGCTATATAAGATATGTATATTTCATCAATTAAAAAGAGGGCTAACAGGGATGGTAAAAGAATAAATTTACAAGCAATAAAAATTTCTCGAGACTTCTTAAGAAAAATGTAAACAATGAAAATTCAATTAAAAAAATACCTTACTTTAGTTTCAACTTATTTTGTTAGAACTATTTTCAAAACTAAATAAAATGCATGCCCGCGTATTCGCGCGGGCTAGCTTTCTAGTTTCATGCAAAAGTAAAACCTTCACCCCATGACCCATGGAAATCCCTAGATTCCACTGCATCCAGCCAAATGAGAATATACCTCAATTCTTAAAATCCAAACTAAACTGAAATAAAATTTTAGAGACCTGAACAAACCAAAACAAGAATTTCCAGATAACCCACGGTAACAATTCAACCATCACTAACTAGTATTATTTTGTTTAAATATCTGAATACAGCCACTAAATCATACCCCTGAATCAAGGGTATCAATCACAACACAACCTCTAAAATGTACAAGGTTACCAAGGATCTATATGACTAAAATCTTAATCAACACACAAAGTTAAATGCAGCGCACAATTAAAATAAGTACACTCATATGTTTGGTTGTTTGTTTCTTTTCAGGGGAGAATCATCTCCCTCGATCATCGGAGAAGGACTCTGAGCACCTACTGACGCTTTGCATCAACAGCTTCCTTCAGTTTCCTCCCGAGGGCGAAGGCAAGAGGTGGAGGCACCGCATTGCCAATCTGCCTGTGCTTGCTCTGGATGTTGCCCGCGAACTGGTAGTTGTCAGGAAAGCCCTGCAGACAAGAATAGGTTAGTTAAACGGTCAGTACTGACTCCCCTCCAAATTCACAATATCTTAGAAGACAGGAAGAGAATGTTGAATGGATGGATAGCAATAGCAGCTTACCTGAGATCGCGCACATTCACGGACTGTGATGATCCTATCCTGGTCAGGGTGGAAGCACATGCCAACCTTGCCCATTGGCTGGGGGTCTGTCACAGAAGTAGGGAAATTGCCCTCCCAATCCAGCCTACCATAAAGCCCTTTCCACTGGTTGTGCCTTTTAGCTGTGTTAGGCAGGCACCAAGGGATCAGGTCCACCAGTTGGCCAGATGATAGTTTCACCTGCACACGCT